CCATCACCTAGACGGCTTGGTGGTGATTGGGAGCTTGGTGATCACCTGGTGGAGCTGTGGGTGACCCAACTCAAGTTGTGAGCGGTTGTGGGTGATTCACCGCGACGGAGTGTTGAAGAATCAACACGTAGAGAGCACTTGATCCTTGTGCGGATCAAGGGGGAGCTACACCCTTGCGTGGGTGCTCCAACTAGGACTAGTGGGGAGTGGCGACTCTCTGATACCTCGGCAAAACATCACCGCGTTCCTCTCTCTCTATTTACTTTGAGCAATTCAATACTTGTTTTTACATTCATAGAATTGCCATGCTAGAGTAAGTTTATAACATAGGTTGCAAGTCCTTTATGCGTTAGATTAATAGAAACACTTTTCTAGGCACAAGGGGTTAATTGGGCTAATCGTAGGATTTAGTTATTGCAAGAAAATTTAGAATTAGCCCAATTCACCCCCTCTTGGGCATCTTGATCCTTTCAGGGTTCATGAGGCTCAAAAGGCTGACACTGGTTTAACTACGATTAGCTTTTAATAAGTCATCTTTTAGCAATTGGGTGGCAACAAGTTTATTCACAAGCCCATATAAACACATGATCAAGTAAATATGAATAATGAATAGCATAAATAGTAATCATTAGTGAGCATCTTTATCATCAGTATCATAAGTGTTCATCATCTATTCCGTAAATATTCCAAGGCCGCTCGTGACCGTGAGGACGACTGATATACCAGTTTTACACTCTGCAGAGGTTGTACACTTTCACTGTGAGTCGTGATTTACCCTTTCGCCTGAGGTGATCAGCCACTTGACCCACTACCAAGGAAGGTCGCCAGGGTTCACTATGAAGCCTTTCAAAGGTTCGTCTAACAAGTTAGGGCCATTAGATTCACTCGGCAAACAGATAGAGCCCCCTCCCGATGGCATAATGACGCGCAACCTATACGCAAGGGAATAGAGGCCGCACTATACTCGATTCGTCAAGCCATTCTTAAGCCAATAAAGGTAACCACTAACAAGCTAGAAAAGGTCCTCATACTGAGCTAAAGCCAGAGCCATAAAGCCCCACAGTTGTACTGTAAGTCCCGGATGATCACTTACAGATAAGTCCTTAGGGAGAGAAATCTAGATCACCATAAAAACAACCCAATGCTCTAGCCCCCTGGTTCCATGTTGCTAAAAAGCATCTTTTAGTGTTTATTGCATATACCATTAGTCAAGTTACAAGATCATGGTCTTTAATTGAGCACTAGCATTATACTACCCAATGCAATACCCCATAGGTAACAAGGCACAAGGTAACAAAGCACTAGGAAATCCTTAGTGACAGTCAAGGTAGACACATGTAGTATGAATTAAATGATTAAAGGTGTATAGAACAACAAGGAAGATCACATGCTATACTTTCCTTTTACTTAGATCCTTCTTCTAGTCCAAACTTCAAAGATCCGCTTCTTGATTCACCACGTATCGCTGACCGACTGGACAAGATCATAAAGCACCACACAAGCATCCATGCAATCATACACAAAGCAAACAATAGATCTAAATTAGAACAGTACACCAAATATAAAATCAAGATGAAAAGTTCATAAAACGAATCTACGTCTCACTACGAACACACAGACGCAAAAAGCACGCTAATCAGAGGTTCGGTGAAAAAGATACATCTACCGATAGATCTGCTTTATACGCGGAAAAGAAAACTATAGGCTTCATTTATTTTAACTATATAGAAGCGTATATAAATTGAATAAGTCAAATTTAGATTTGAATTATAAAACTAAAGTAAAACAAATCATATTTTATTTATAAAATCCAGGTGCATAATTATTAATCAAGATATGATTTAAACCATGAAATTTTAGAAATAGTAATATGGTAAACACTGTTACTAATGCGTAGATCTCGTCGCTATGAATCTAACGCAACTTGAACGGGTCAAAACGGTGCTAAAACGCAGAAGATATGAATTAAACAAGATTTCCTTTAGTAAAATAATAGATTAAATCTAACCTTGAATTTTAAAAGTAAAAAATATATCTAAAGTGGTATAAACATGTAGACAACATAAATACGAACCTAACGCAAGTTGAACGGGCCAAATCAGAGTTAAAACGGAGAAGTTATGGCAAAAACAAAATCAGTGGCAAATCTGTAAATAAGTGAATACGTATTTTGGATCTAAACCGATGAAACTATGCTTTCCAAAGAAGAAAATATAATCTGTGATTGCGCCTTGGACCGCGGGTTGAGACTCAATTAGTTGAATGGCCTTTTTGCAAAAACACAAACGAAGGGGTATATTCTAATCCTGGCCCTTGATCTTAGATCGGATGGACATAATTGAATCGGCGGACGGGAGAAGACTTGGTGAGACCGGCGGCGAGGTTAAACGGCGGTGGTGCCACGGCCAGCGACGAAGCTTGGCCGGAACAGCGATTCCGGGCGCGGTTTACAACGGGAAAGGCACGGGGTGAAAGAGGAGGTTGAGGCGAGCTCACCTAGCTGCTTCACGCGGACGGGAGCGGATCCATGGCGACGTGGTGAGGACGGGCGGCGTGCGGCTTGGCGGGGCGACGACAGACGGCGGACGGCGGCGCAGGGCTAGCTCTAGGCGAGGTGGTACGAGATAGGGCACGTGGTAGGCGGCACGACGCAGGGCTCGCTATTTATGGGACCGGGCAGAGTAGGGCACAAGGCAACGACGCGGAGCGGAACGGCAGCGGACTCCCGGGCGAAGGCGGTGGAATCCGGGCGGGACACGAACTCGGGAAGGGGGCGGAGCTGACGGGCGGGCCCAGGGTGGCAGCGGAGCAAGCGGAGAAAGGAGAGGCGCGGCCTGCGCGACGACTGGGCTACGACCTGGCTGGCTGGGCCGGCTTGCTGGGGCTTCGGCCGGGGCGGCCCATAAGCAGGAAAGGAAGGAGAGCGGGATGAAGTGGGCCCACGGGGTGACACTGGGCCGCAGTGGTGGGTGAGGCTGAGCGTCCCCCGAGAGGAGGTGGGCCAAAACCAGAGAGAGGGAGTGCGAGAGGAAGTAATTCCTTTTCCAAATCTTTTTCCTATTTTGTTTTCAAAACCAAACTCAAATGTAAACCAAATCAAATTCAAATAGAGTTTAAAATACACTTTTCAATTCAAATAAAAATAAGAAATTTTGATAAGTTTTCAAAAATAAATTTTCACAACTTTTAAAATGCCTTTATTTTTCAATTTTTCCTTTTATTTGAAAGCCATTTTTAATTTCATTTGCAAAAGAAATTTAAACCATTTTGAATTCTCAATCAAAACCACTCAACCAAATAAATTCAATGCAATGGCATGTATGCTCAAACATGTTGCTACCTTATGATAAATTTTAATTTAATGAAAAATTTTATTTTCATGTATTTCATAAGCACAAAAATTCAAAATTACCTTCATTTAGACCTATTTCAAAAGAAGCAAATTTTAGGATGTTACGTGCTTACACCGGGTGTTTTGCATGAAGCTAGAGCATCTCCAAAATAGTTCCTAAAAAAGCAATTGGCAAATCAATGAGTTTTCCAAGTAGAAAAAAAAGTTGGGAGCACATTTGTTAAGTTTAATTTCTCCCAAATTTTATAAAATCTCACTCCTAAAATATAGAATATAATTTTGCATCAGGAATCCCGCACGGACCATTTCCAAATCGCCCTAACCACTTTTACATTTTCTTTCTCTCTTGCACATTTGCATTGAAAACCCGTCCTACCACCTCTAGATTGGCCGGTTGATATATACGTGCTTGTATATTTCCCCGCGATTTGGTCGATTTTCCCAAGTGCGGAAAGATTGGGAGTTGAGATAGGGAGTTGTTGTTGTTGGAGAGCAGTTTTATTCAATCTTGCAAAAAAAACATTGGGAGTGGATTTTAGAAACTCTTGGAGATGCTCTTACATCTTATGATATTTTAGATTTTGCAACAAGTGCATTAAAACAATACAACGAATAGGAAACGTTGAGTTCTTTTTATGCAAATATATAAGCTCGGACAAGTAGTCCATTTTTCAACTCATGTGTGTAGGCCTCGCCTTTTCTAAAAAGAGGATGGAGGCGTTTGGTAGAGTTGACACGTGCATAGGATGCAACATGCTCGTTACGTCCCCGGGCGCCGCTCCCCGTACCAGCGCGCATGCCAGGCATGGTCGTCGGCACCCGCAGAGCAAGGGGCCCGGTAAGGAATTTATATTTTTTTCTTCAAGAGAAATGGGCTGCATTCGTACGACTTTATATTAGGCCCGGCAACCATCGCGGTTGCATTGGAGGCGGCCTGCGGGCTAACGACTGTACATGAATTAAATTATTACTCGTGTCGTTGAAATGGAAGGAAACCTATTGGAAGCAGAAGCAGCCTCCTGCCTGCCTGAGCCTGCCGCATCCATGTTCAGCTTTTTGAGTCCACATGCAAGCGCAAAAGCATCCTACACAGCTTTTTCATTCAGCAGCATAGAGAGAAACCACCAATCCAAACTCTTCACCAAAGCATCAGAGTCACATCACAGAGATGCATGTGCTTAGCTTATCATGAGCTGTGTATATATAATAAAACAAATAATAAAGGCACCAATGAAACTGATTATAAATAAACGGCGCTTCATAAATAAATCTCCTCCTGCTTCGTAAACTCTGATTATAATAGTAACAGTAATTCCTTGACTCACAAAGAATAGCCAACGAATCTAATAATTCTATGATCTCATGGATGTAGCCTCCTGCAGAGCAGACCGTTGCTCTGGGTCGCTTCGTTCTCCTATGCTATGATGTACTCATGGTGTCTAGTTCTTGCTTTTTACCCTTGCATTGCAGCTGAGGGAAGTTTCAGCTTGGGCGTGTACGTCCTTCTTTCTGCTGGATTCATCGCTGGTGACGGTGACGAGTTGCTGCTGTTGCTCCTCCTCCTCCATTGGATGTCAGTCAGTGGAGAAGGCGGCATTTGGGGTGTGGCCTTCACTCTTAACCCAAGACCGACCAAGTCGCGGAGAAATTAAAGCCAGGAGCAGAGACGCCCACCAAGCAGCCGTGGAGAGCGATCTGTTAATTAAAAAAAAAAATCATCAATTAAAGCTTTTAACACACAATTCGGTCGTAACTTTGCTTCCAAGTAGTCAACAGCATGTATACATTTGGTCCAATTCTAAACACACAATTCAACTCATGGTGTGGAAAGTGGGAACAGAGAGTCCATGCGTATATGAAAACTCTAGGGAAAAACGCTCAAAGGATAAAGCGAGCAGCAGAGAGGTAGAGATGCCCAGGCAGCCATGGAGAACACAAGAGCGATATATATATGTCAAAAGAATCGTCGAAATCCAATAAGATTTCAAATACATATATCTGCTACTTCGGTCAAAATTAGCACATAGTAAGCGTTGAGATTTGAAATGACAGGGCAAACATGTATATATGGCGGCGTGTCCACCCCAAACAAAAAATGGACAGGGGCAGACATGCAAACACAAGATTTATGCATGCAACCATATACGGGAAAGATTGGTGCGTACCTTCAAGACGAGAATCTAGATACGTATCTTCCATGAGGCCGCTGTCCAGTCGCTGCTGCAGAGTCGAAGGGAGCGATTTTATACGTGGGCACTCAATAATTGTAAGCCGACGAAGAGATGAGTATTCTTGTGGTTCTGGCCCACTGGGCAAGGATGTCAGGCTTATGCAACTGTTCAGAGCGAGGGATTCCAGTGCTGAGAGATCTATGATGCATAATGATTCTAGTGATCGCAACTCTGGGCAGTTGTAAATTAGTAGCTCTTTGAGTGCATCCAGCTGGCCTGATATGAACCGTAGTTTGGAGCAATTTTGAGTATCTATTCGCCTGAGGGACGAGGGGAGATTGACAACCTCTGACAACCCGTCACAGTCCCATATTGTTAGAGATTCTAAAGATGATGGAAGGAGCTTATCCGGGTCCGCCCATGGTGACAGCTTCTCCTCAACAGGTGTGGATGCTGCCACGTCATGGGTACTACTAGCCTCTTGATTCAACTGTTGCCTGCCGTATAGGGACTCAAGCTTACAACAGTATTGAACATCCATCCTCTTGAGAGCAGGGGAGTTGAAGACCTCTACCAGACTTCCACACTGCCATATCTCTAGAGACTCAAGATGGGGCAAAAGTTGGCTCCTTCCTGATGTTTCCTGGTCAGGAGCATTTGCCGCTGCGTATCCAATTAGATTATCGCAGTTCTGAATCCGTAGCCTCCGCAAGGAAATCAAGCTTTGGAATACTTTCTCCGGCCAGTACACAAGCTCATCGCAGCTATAAATTGTCAGATCTTGCAGCTGCCCATAGCAAACCCACAGTGCTACCGCACGTGGTTGGAAGTATAGTTTTCCAAATGGCACTAACACTGTGGGCCGGCACGGGCACGGCACTAAAAAGCACGGCCCAGGCCCGGCCCGCCCGCCTGCCGTGCCGTGCTGCGCGCACGGCCCGGCAATCGATGCGTGCTCGGGCTGCCACCTCGGCCCGCTTAGCACGGCCCAGCGCGACGGCAACAGGGCGGCCACACGGCCTTGCGCACGGCTCCAACAAAGGATATAAGCCCGGCGCCCCCGCCGCCCGACGTCGCGAAACCCTAGCTCATTTGTTTCCAGCTCCCTCTCTCTCATCTCTCGCTCTAACCTCTGCGAGCGGCTCTCTCCTCTCTTCGTCTCCCTCTCCGGTGGTGTCTCCTCTCTTCTTCTCGCCCTCCGGTGGCATCTAGAGCCTTCGCTGGGCGGCACGGCGGGCACTGGCACGCAACTTCGTCTTGATCTCGCTCCGTTGATGTAGCCTTTGTCGTCCACCTCGTCGTTTCCCCACGCGCGCCACGCCGCCCGTATCGACGAAACCCTAGCTCATTTGTTTCCAGCTCCTCTCTCTCTCTGTCTCTCGCTTCTAACCTCTGCGAGCGGCTCTCTCTCTCTTCGTCTCCCCTCCGGTGGTGTCTCCTCTCTTCTTCTCGCCTCCGGTGGCATCCTTGTCGTCCACCTCGTCGTTTCATTCGTCACCGTCGCCGACCTCGCCGGGCCCCGGCAACTCTGGTGCTCCGGGATGTCGGTAAGTTGAGCTTTGCTCCTCTCCGATCTGGCTCTTCCTCTCTTATCCCTCCCGGATCTCGATCCGATGTGCTCCCGTCCCTGTAGGTCCCTCTTGATTCGCAGATCCGTCGAGGAACCAGAGGGCCGGATCCGCGTCGTCGACGTCGCCGGCGTTCCGGTGCTCCGCCGCCAAGGTATTGTAAACCCTAACCTAAACCCTAACCCTAACCCTAACCCTAACTAGATCTCACATTGATTCTTTGTTTATGTGAAGCCGTTGAGGAAACCGGCGCCCGGCGAAGTGACGATGGCCCGCTCCTCCCGACGAGACCGTTGAGGTCAGCGCCAACGATGAGAGGCGGATGTGCGGGCTAGCCGGAGATGACGACGAGGATGACTCGCGCGAGGACGCTGGAGCTCGTTTCGTGTCGTCGCGTTGAGGATCCCATTGTAGGTGATGGCGGCAACAATGATGCAATAGGGGGCGAAGAAGAAGAAGGAGAGGATGACAACGACAACAAGCGCCACGTCCTTCTACCTCGGTTTGTGTGGCTCGATTTTAAGAAGTTGTTCAAAAAGGTCCCAAAGGTAAGAAGGTAAGGTATGCCGTCATTGCATCCTTTGCAATAAGCGATACTCTGCTCTCTCTAGTGGTGGCATTTGGTCACCTCACTCGTCATAGGGACAAATGTGTTAAGAGGAATGAGAAAACTCGCATGACTCGGTCTAGGATATCTTTTTAACTCGATGGTAGTATGCGTTCTTGGGAGTACTTGTCCTATTGTTGCTTCGACCGAATCGGGTTCGATTGCTTTGTAGACTTGATGTGCCCTATCGTATGGGTGAAACCGATGCTTTTATGATTACATTAGAAATGCTCATAATCCAAAGTTTGTTCTGTCTCTAGACAAACCACCACCAGAGACATAGTCAAATACTTCACTGATAAAAAGACTAAGCTTGTTGAGACTCTTAGTTCATCTGCTATAAATTGTGTTTGTCTTACCTCTGACATTTGGTCTGGTAATGCCAAAGAGGACTATCTTAGTGTGGTTGCTCATTACATAAATCCTGATTGGCAACTAGAGAAGAGGGTGCTTGGTCTTGTGCTTATTGATGTGTCCCATAGTGGACAAAACATTGCTGAAAGGGTTATATCTGTGCTTGCTGATTATGGTTTGACTGAAAAGGTCTTTGCTGTTACTTTGGACAATGCCTCATCTAATGTTTCTGCCATGCGTACACTTAGGCCTGTACTATCTAAATATCTTGGTATTGAAGTACCCCCTGATAATGATAGAAATGATAGAAATGAAACTGATAATGCAGTTAGTACTTTGTTTATGCATCAGCGTTGTGCGTGTCATATCATAAATCTCATTGTTAAGGAGGCCCTTAATGCTCTTCAGCCTTTGATTGAAACATTTAGAACTGCAATATCATTTCTGAACTCATCTAACTAGAGAATTGCTGCATACAAAAGTTACTGTATTGCCAACTTGGAAGAACAAACTGCAGCTGAGTAGTTTCATATCTACCACAGACGACGGATGGTCCCATTTCTCCTTATCATCCAGCTTGACGCCCTGCAATAACCAGCTGGACAGTGACGTCATATATCTGATTCCTCCTAGAGAAATCTGTCGATTTGCTTCATGCAAAACCAGTTCTTTGACCTTTGGTGCCCTAGGCAGAGTTGTTAACTTTGGGCATTTCTCGATACCAACAATCTCAAGCAAAGGGAACAGTGCATGTTCTTCTTCAATTTCAAGGGCAGACTCCCATCTCTCAAAGCTATTTAAATCTTCCAGTCTGAGCTTCTTCAGTGCTGGAAATGCAGAGCGGGCCGCTGTATAATCTCCACCACCATACGGTTCTCTGAGCACCGATGCTTCCGGTAATGCTGCCAAATTTTTACAGCCTTCAATGTGCAATATCTCAAGCTGAGGAAATGCTACGGTGCCTCCATGTGTTGCCTCCCAAAATCTATCAAAAACCTGAAGATTAACTAGCTTAAGATCCTTAAGCTTTCCAAATGTGGAGGATGTACAGATGCTACACAGGAATTGCAATTTTCCCAATCTTTGCAAATGAAGGACTTGTAGTTCTGCTAGCTGTTCCAATTCAGGAAGCTGCTCTACATTATTACAATTAGATAACCGAAGCTCAACCATGTTTTTCAACATACCCGTCCATGATGGGAAACTGGTGCCTTGGTAGGAATATATTTCTAGAGCCAGCAGTCCATCATGAGCTTCGAGACTCTGTAGCACCTCATGACATTGTCCACTCTAGTGACAGTTGTCTCAGATCCTTCTTATTCTCAAGGTTGGCTGCTTTTGCATTTCTTCTCACTGTCACATTTTGGAGCTGCTTTAGCATTAATGAACCACCAATATTTAAATCCTTTAGCTCTCCAAGACTGCTACAATTCAAGCCACTTCCCACTACAAACCATGTAATGGTTCGAAGCAAGGTGATTCGTCCAAGCTCTGGAGGCATGCACTCCAGCTTCGTGCACCCATCTGTGTAGAGATGACGAAGGCTACTCATGTGCTTTATTTGCTCAGGAAGTCTGTTGAGACTGCTGCAGTTAGAAAGTTTTAGTGTCTGGAGACTATATAGGATGCTTATATCATCTGGAAGTGCTTGGATGCCATCATTATCTGAGAGATCAAGGTACCTAAGGTGGCACAAGTGCTTTGGTTTTATTGACAAATGAGCCCCTGATACTGGCATAGAAAGTGCTCGGAGAGAACTAAATTTTGATGAATGTGGCACATCATGATGGTAATAATGAGATCTATAAAACAACATTGTTTGTATAGGTGGAAACTTCTCCTTCGTAGTACCAAATAAAAAATTTAATCTCTTTTTGTCCAGGCTTGTTTCAAAAAGTATATGGCGGGCAGCACCAGGAAGCAAGTCATCACTTCGAAAGAATTCATAAGTTATACAAACACACTCCTTCTCTGAAGCAGAAAGTGCAACATCATGCATGAGGTCATGGTGTAAACATTCTTTGGATCGACTAGAGTAGATCTAGGCGGATGAACTCATAGATCCATGAAACACATGCACATTTAGACCTAGAACACTACACCGAGAGGGAGATAGGGGAGAGAGGGCTGGTGATGAACCTGAGCCTCCAGATGATGTCGCGGTTGTGCTAGCCATCGCGGGTTCGGTGATGGAGGCAGCACACGGGCAGCGACGGGTGGAGTAGAGGTTGCACGGACGTCGATGCAGTGCGGTCGGGCGTAGCAGTGGCGACGACGAGGATCAGCGGAGCTTCCCGTCGCTGGCTGCGCGCCCTCTCGAGATCGGTTTAGGGTTTGTCGGTGGGGTTTGCGGCTCACGGCGAACCTCGTGCTTTGAGCCGCCGGCCCCCACCTCTTTATATAGCGCAGTGCGACGGGGGCCCACCAACCATGTAGGGTTGGGCGCCCCCGATCAGGGCGCGTGACCAAGGCCCAATAAGCCGTTGGGCTTATTGGTTAGGAGATCAATCTAACATTCTCCCCCTTGATCTCACCATTACTTTTATCTTTAAACTTTAAACTTCAATCCTTTTATCCTTACTCATTTCTTCACAGATGATGCATAGAGCATGTCTCATCGTCACGGTCAATCGCCGATAGATTTAACAGCTACAATGCACGTCTCTGATCTGAAATAGTTACTTTAACTTTTGGGCCCTTTATAGTCCAGGAATCATAGGCTTTCCCTTAAACCCATGCGGCTACATGTTCTCACGAACACGTTGGGTGGTAAGCCTTTTGTAAGCGGATCCATGAGCATCTTTTTGGTACTTATATGCTCAAGACTTATCATTTGATCCCGGACTTTATCCTTCACAACATAATACTTTATGTCAATGTGTTTGGCAGCACCACTTGACCTATTGTTGTGAGCATACTGTACTGCTGGATTATTATCGCAGTATAACTTCAGTGGTCTATTGATGTCGTCAACCACCTTTAAACCGGGTATGAACTTCTTTAGCCAGTTCACCTGCCCCGTTGCCTCATAACACGCTACAAACTCGGCATACATTGTGGACGATGTAGTGACGGTTTGCTTTGAGCTTTTCCATGAAATAGCTCCCCCTGCGAGAGTGAACACATATCCGGGCGTGGATTTTCTATTATCTCCGCATAATCGAATCAATATCCCACTATATGGAGTGAATCGGATCTTCTATATGTCATCATGAGGCCTTTCGTTTCCTTGCAAATAACGCAAGACTTTCTTTACCAATTTCGGTGTTCTATTCCGTGATTGCTCGAATCGCTTAAGTAACCCGGTAACAAATGCCAAGTCGTATGTAGCGTACACACTTGAGCATATTACAAGCTTCCGACAGCTGAAGCATATGGAACCGCTTTCATTTGATCGATCTCATATTGGTTCCCTGGGCATTGAAAATCCCCATATCTGTCGCCCTTGACTATAGGAGCAGGTGAGGGACTACATTTGTGCATACTTGAATTTCTTCAAGACTTTTCTATGTATGCCTTTTGTGACAGTCCTAATACCCTTTATTTCTATCTCGGTGAATCTCGATCCCTAGAACGAACGAAGCTTCACCAAGATCTTTCATATCAAATTTTGAGGACAAAAACTTCTTTGTTTCGAGAGTAGGTGACATCACTACTTGCAAGTAAGATATCATCCACATACGGGACAAGGAAGATAAACTTCCCATTCTTAAACTTTGCGTGAGACACAATTGTCCTCAACATTATCTTTAAACCCAAAATTCTTTATTATCCGATCAAACTTCAAGTACCATTGTCTTGAAGCTTGTTTTAATCCATAAATGGATTTCTTTAGGCGGCATCCCAAACGTTCTTTTCCTTCTATGACAAAACCTTTTGGTTGTGCCATGTAAACATTTTCTTCTAAGTCTCCGTTGAGAAATGCCGTCTTTACATCCATCTGATGTAATTCCAAATCGTAATGTGCCACTAATGCCATTATGATTCTGAAGGAATCCTTACACGAGACTGGAGAAAAAGTCTCATTGTAATCAATCCTTCTCTTTGTGTAAAGCCTTTTGCCACAAGTCGGGCTTTATATCTTTCTATATTCCCTTGAGAGTCAAGTTTTGTTTTGTAGACCCATTTACTGACCTCATTGTTTTGGCTCCTTTAGGAATTATCTTCAAATCCCAAACTTTATTTGCATTCATTGATCTCATCTCATCTTCCATGGCCTCAAGCCACTTTGATGAATGATCACTTTTCATGGCTTCTTCAAATGAGGTGGGATCATCCTCCATTTGAAATTCTTGATGTTGTACACTTCATAATCAAAGCAGGAATAGCTGATTTTCTAACTCTTTGAGACCTTCTAGGGCCTCCTCAATTGGCACATTTTCTGTTTGAGGTCTGTTGTTGCTCCCCCTCATGTGTGGCAATAGGTTCTATAGGATCCTGAGCCACGTGTTCCTCATCATCATTCATTGTTGCCACAGACGGGATAACAACAGTCTTTGGCACCACAGTTGTCTTGTATCTTTGTGAGTGCAAAGAACAGCAGTAGTGAGAAAAATGGCTCATGAATGATCGGAGTGGGTGCATACACCCGCTTCTCTTCAAGGTCAATTTCTCGAGCTACCATGCTCCCCTAATCATTTCATCCTCTAGGAAGATGGCATGTCTCGTTTCCACAAACTTTGTATGTCTCATAGGGACAAGAGAAACGAAAACCTTTTGACTTTTCTCGGGTAGCCAATGAAATGGCAACTCACCATTTTGGGATCTAGCTTCCCAATGTTTGGGTTAAAAACTTTAGCCTCAAAGTAGGCTCCCCACACACGCAAGTGGTTAAGTGATGGTACTCTTTCTGTCCACAACTCATACGGTGTTTTGGGCACCGACTTACTTGGTACTCTATTGAGAATATGAATGGCGGTTTTTAACGCCTCCATCCACAGACTCGTGGGTAAAGTGGAGTAACTTATCATACTACGCACCATATCCATCAAGGTACGGTTACGCCTTTCAGCTACTCCATTCTGCTGAGGTTCGCCCGGTGTTGAATACTGGGCGACTATACCATTCTCCTGTAAGAACCTTGCAAAAGGTCCAGGAACTTGTCCATATGGGGTATGTCGACCGTAGTACTCTCCTCCACGGTCAGACCTGACTATCTTAATCTTTAAATCATGCTGATTTTCAACTTCTGCTTTAAATATTTTAAATTTATCCAACGCTTCTGTTCTTTCTTTAATTGGATAAATGTAGCCAAACCGAGAGTAATCGTCTGTGAATGTTATGAATGAATCATAACCATCCACACTTTTCACAGGAAAAGGACCACATATGTCTGTGTGAATAATCTGTAGAATTCCTGCGCTTCGTTTGGCATCTTTCTTAATTTTCTTTACATACTTTTCTTTTATGCAATCTCTACATTGTTCTAACTCTGAGAGCTCTAATGGAGGAAGAATATCATTCTTAACTAGTCTTTCTATTCTCCCCCTCGAAATATGGCCTAAACGACAGTGCCATAATTTCGACAACGCATCTTGAGCTCTCTTTCGTTTTCTGTTTCCATTGTTCGATGAGGATACATTTTCATTCACATCACATACGGAATTAACATTTTCACGAAGTGATAACAAATAAAGCTCGTCTTGTCGGAAGGCAAGACCAATACATTTATTATTAAACAATATCTGACATTTGCCATTTCCAAAATGGCAATCATAACCATCATGGTCCAACTTTGAAACACTAATCAAATTTCTTTGCAAAGAAGGTACATAAAGAACATCTCTAAGAATAATTATGAAGCCATCAGCAAGCTCTAACGGAAGATCACCAACGGCCTCAACATCTGCTTGTTCTCCATTTGCGACTTTAATGAAACTTTCGCTTCTTTGCAAAGTTCTCATCGAACGGAATCCCTGTAATGAATTAGCAACATGAATAGTTGCACCTGAATCAATCCACCAAGTAGATTTTGAAAACTTTACATACAAGGATTCATTTACGAACGTAATAATGTTCTCACCTTTATTCTTCATAATCATCTTTAAGAAATCAGGACAATTCTTTTTATAATGTCCTGTCTTCTTGCAGTGGAGACACTGGTCTTTAGCCACTGGGAATTGCTGGTTCTGAGACTGTTGCATGGGACCTTTTCCAGATGATTTGGAGGAAGAACTGTTATTATAGTTCTTTTTCTTATCTTTTAGGTAGTTGACAGAACCACCTTGTGAAACTTTTATTCTTTCCTCCTCCTGCACACACATGGCTATGAGCTTTTCCAAATCCCATTTTTCAGGCTGTATGTTGTAATTAACAACAAATGTGTCAAATTCTTTGGGCAAAGAAGCAAAAATCAAATGAATAAGAAACTCATCCTTGAGTGCCAAATCCATTGGTTTGAGCTTAGATGCCAGATTGCTCATTCTCAGTATGTGCTCTCTAATGCCACTGCCGCCACCAGAGTACCTTTCTGTGACCAGCTGCTTGATCAGCTGGGTTGCATATGTCTTTGAAGAGCCAGTGAACTGACTCTTTATTCTGTCTAGGTACTCTGTGACCGTGTCACAGTCTGGAATTGAGCCCACTATAGCAGGCTCAATCGTGTTCTTTATCACTGCCAGACACTTCTTGTTGGCAGTGACCCATTTCCTATGCTCAAGGTCATAGGACATCTTTACGGGAGCAAAATCCCGCTCTCTGTTCTGCCATGCAGTATCAGTCTCATCTGTTTCCCTCACCGGTGCCTCAGGTTCTTTAGGGCACGGTGTGGTGACAACCCAGTCAACCTCAGCGAGGATAAAGGCCAGGTCTATCTTTTTCTTCCACTCAATATAGTTATCACCTTTTAGAGTGGGGATTTCTTTGATACAACTCATCAAGTTGTATCCTCCTGAAAACATAATTCAAATAGGGTGAGAACAGAAATAACAACAATAATTGCATGCCTTAGTTTAACGTTGGTCAAAATTAAAACATACAATTATTTTCTACACTAATTCTACATCACCGTTGGGCAGAAATAGAATTAATGTATAACAAAAAAACATTATAATATTGTCATTAATCAACGTTGGTCAGAATAACAACAACATTATAATCAATTTAAAACATATCCATTTTCAAAATTAAATTCTCCCGTTGGTTCGAATTTAATAATGAAAATTACATCTTTAAATACGCAGCGGAAAACTTTAACATTTAATAATCTTTTTCCTATTTTCCAGAAGCAAATTTACTATTTACTGAACAAAAAATATCGTTGGATAAATTTTGTACAGAAAATTATCATAAAATAATCAATTCAAATTGATCAAACTGTTTTCTGGAAAATAAGAAAAACAAAACTGTGACAATATCTGTTCATTTGACCATTTCGGCCCACCAAAGATATCGCGCCCACGGCCAGCATTTATCGCTGGCTGCTGGCCAATGGCAAAAACGCCAAAGCAGCCAATGGCCCATCCCAAGGCCAACAGCACCCCTGCCCACCCAGCTGCTGGCTTCTCCCGCGCCCAGCCGCAACACGGGCTGGGCCGATTTCGTTTGCCCTTTGGGCCTAAAGCTGGTCCAAATCTCGTCATTGGATCGGATCGGACGGCTGTCCGGCCGTTTCGCCCGAACAAAATCCCCCGGCCAGCCCCTCTCCCTGAACCCTAGGTTCATTTCACTTCCTCTCCTTCTCTCTCACCCCGCAGCGCAGCTCTGAGAGACCCGCAGCAGCAGCCGTCCTCAGTGGCCGAGGGAGAAGAAGGCGGCATTGCCCAAGGCTCTCTCGGCGGCGGCGTGTGTTTCGCCCGAGGCCGAGCACGCCGCCGAGGGGCCGCAGGTGGTGCCCTCTGCCGTGACCGCTTGGCGAGGTGCAGTGCGGATCTCGGCCCCTGCCCCAAGGCTGCTCGGGAGAGCGACGCCATGGTCTCTCCTATCCATGTGTGGTGGCGATCTTGCCGGCGGTGGGAAGAAGCCAGTGTAGGCTTCTTTTTTTTTTTTTAGGGTTAGGGGTTTGGTTTTCCGATTTGAAATCGGTTCCTTTCCTTTCCTTTTCCCCTTGACTGCGGCGTGTTTCGACGGCGAGGTGACCGAGCCACCCTCTTCCCTTTCTTTGATTCATTTGTTCGGATTTTAGCCCGATTTGACGATTAGGGTTAGGGTTAGGGTGGAGACGGCCATCGTTTTCTTTTCCCTAATCACCTTCGGGTTTTAGGGTTCGTTCTTTGCATGAAAACCGAGCCCTTCTTCTTTCTCGATCCGACGGATCGAAAGTTAGGGTTCAACCGAACATCGGGTGACCCTTTTACGCTTAGATCCACAATGGATCTAATCAACTTTTTCCTTTTCTAATCAAGTACCGTTCTAGATCTACGTGCTAATAGGCTCTCGTACCATTGTAAACATTCTTTGGATCGACTAGAGTAGATCTAGGCGGATGAACTCATAGATCCATGAAACACATGCACATTTAGACCTAGAACACTACACCGAGAGGGAGATAGGGAGAGAGGACCGGTGATGAACCTGAGCCTCCGGATGATGTCGCGGTTGTGCTAGCCATCGCGGGTTCGGTGATGGAGGCAAAGACACTGGCAATGAATGACGGGTGAAGTAGAGGTTTACCACGGACATCGATGCGGTGTGGTCGGGAGTAGCAGCGATGCATGACGGCGCGACGAGGATCAGCGTGAGCTTTCCGTCGCCGGGGCTGCGCGCGCCTCGAGATCGGTTTAGGGTTTGTCGGTGGGGTTTGCGGCTCACGGCGAACCTCGTGCTTTGAGCCGCCGGCCCCCACCTCTTTATATAGCGCAGTGCGACGGGGGCCCACCAACCATGTAGGGTTGGGCGCCCCCGATCAGGGCACGTGACCAAGGCCCAATAAGCCGTTGGGCTTATTGGTTAGGAGATCAATCTAACACATGGATCTTCACAAAAGTTGTAGAACTATACCCAATCCTTCTTTGCTCCTCGTACTGGAAGAATGACCTCGAAACCATCTCATTGACAATCCGTTTACCCATGGTTTCAGCAGGTACCTTGTTTTGATCTGAGATATAACCATTGGCCATCCATAGTTGGATAAGCTTGTCCACATCAATTGGATAATCCTTTGGATACATAGCACAAAAGGCAAAGCATTGCTTCATGTCAGTTGGCAAGTCATTATAGCTGAGCTTGAGTATAGGTAAAATCTCGGTCTCATCATTGCATATCCTGCTTCGATGTAATATGTCCTCCCATTCTTCCTTAGTGGTCTTGTTACACAATACAGACCCCAATGCTTTGGCTGCCAATGGAGATCCAACTCATCTCTCTGCAATCGGGCCAACCAACTTAACTAGCTTCTCTGGCTTAGTCTTCTGCAAACCGAAAGCTCTTGTTTCAATAATTTCATGTATGAATTCTATGTCCAAAATTGCCACATCATGGTATTTATTTTTCCATGATGAGTTGTTAGCTACTGTACCCATGAATTCAGCTATTTCTTTATCACGAGTCGTCGTCAATATGGCACTACCGACACCGTCTTGATTAAGACATGCCTTCAACTTTCCCCATTTGTCAACATCCTTATTCCATACGTCATCCAATACAAGAAGATACCTATTAGGAACATTTTTTTCTGTTAGTACCTTTCTTTGTGCATGGCCCTAAATCAAGCATAGAGCCTATGTTGCAATGGAAGTTGTTATATAGACTGCAGACCTCTAGAAAAAGATTAGTTAGCTAGAGCTAATGCCATGTTTGGATGTGCGTGGGGTGGGGTGGCTATATAATGTTCTTGGTCAATAATTCGAGCTTCCATTTTGGAACCATGCTGTACTTTTATGGGATTGCATAGTGGTACATGACTGAGATAATTAGACCTGTCTACTTTATTTTACAACCCTCGCACAAACTTATGTTATCTAAATATTACATAGGGGTACACAATACATGTCATGACGTACCGAGTGTTCAGCAAGAATAAATAAAACATAAAAGCATGATAGAAGGTGAGAGTTGAGTTAGCAATAATAAGCTCTAGCAATAATACCTCTTTCCCCTAAGATGTTCCTGAAGCTTGTTGAGTGCCTGCTCCAGGATTGTGCACGAAGCATTACATATCTTGTTGGCAAGATTACAGACATTGAAATCATCTGAGACACACACCCACTTTAGTAGCTGGAAATGCTCCTTGACGTGAGGGTCATTGTAGATGAGTTGAGCGAGGGTGGTCTTGCCCAATCCTCCCATTCCAACGATGGGAAGAACTAAGAGATCACCACTGCTAGCTTGATGGTTGAGCAATATCTCAATAATTATCTTCCTCTCCTTTTCTCTAGATCTACTAACAATGTTTTCAGGATCAACGATAACGGAATCCATCTCACGCCACCTGTTCCTTGCTGGTGCCTCGAGCTGAAACTTGTCGAATCCAAAATCTTTCATTTCCTCCACAAGGACCTTGATGGCCTCAACAATGCTGCCAAGCTTGTTTCCCATCCTGCTACGGAATGCGACACGGTTGTGAGTTGGGAAGAGTTTTACTCCAGCCATGCCGAGCTTGGTGATGTGCCCATTCTTCTTGGCTCGACGGCGGAGTGCCTCGTACTCGAACTCGTCAAAGACGTCGTTCGCCTCGTACGCCACCGTCTTGAGCTTCTCAAGCCATGCCTTTACTCCTCCTCGGCGAGACGCCTGCTTCTCGGCATCGGCCATGATGTCGAGGATGGCAGGCAGCTTGCGCTTGAGGATCTCGTGCTGCTTCTCCATGCCCTCCATCACGTTGTACTGGTCCAGGAGAGTGCTGGACACCTTCTTCAGCAGGGACACCAGCGGCCCAACCACCAGGCTGGCTGCTAGTTCAACCATTGGAGCACTCAGATCTCCCGAGAACGCACGCTCAGAGCACAAAGGGGAACACAATGGCTGAGCGGAGAAGGAATGGTAGTCTGGGAAAGCGTCCGGCCACTTTTGAGGAAAATAAAGGGGTTCCTTGCATCTCGACATCCTAGCTTGGGGCCAAGTAGTAAAATCGGAAAATCGGAAAATCATCATTCCAGCTCGCAACAGCTCAGCACTGGGAATCCTTTTGGACCTGACGTAGTAAACATTTAGCAGGGCATCTTGATTTTTTTTTTGTGGCCATGCGAGCGAGCAGATAAGGCACTCGCGTGCGGCTGTTGCAACCACAAGCGAGCGGATAAGGTAGCAAAAGAAAAAGGAATATAGAAAAAAAGAAAAAATAAGGGTATTTTAGAGATTCTATCATTTTTTACCACCAGGAGAAGCTGTTTTATCGAACGATCCAAAAAAACTGCTTTAGCTCTTCACGTGAATCTGTCCTACCATTAAAGTCACAACTAAAACTATTTTAGCTGAAGCCAAAGCTCTATCAAAACATGTTAAAGCATGAGAAACCTCCTTTCAACGATTCCCTCTCGAAAAGACCATGTACCTAACTACTCGGAATTATTGCTTCCAAATGGTTTGGTAGCACGCCGCTCTCTCGTGCTTGTCCTGTGCGTGTGGTCGCGTCGACGTCGGCAATAATGGAGGGCCAGGGCCAGGGGGACAAGGTCACATGGCCGGCAGCCAGCCACCCTTGACTGACTGCTATCAATTGTTCATCAAAATAATTGATGGAGGGACGTGGAGCCTTGGCTGACTGCTATCGACACAAAAATCTCTTAGGAGTCGCGTATGCCACGCTGCCAGCGATTTTGATTGATGGCCAAGGGACTGTCGCGTGGGCTCGATCACCGCAAGTCCCCCAAAACCACCGTATGAGTCCCTCCTCATGTTCTATTTTTATTCTTATTACTACTCCGATCATATATATGCGTTGCTTGACTCACCTGCCTGAGCCTGCGGCATCCATGTTCAGCTTTTTGAGTCCATGCAAATGCAAAAGCATCCGTCTGGGTCACATGTTCAGCTTTTTTAGGGTCCCAAGTATATGTTTTGAATCCTTAGATTAATCCAAATTTTCCAAACGACCTTGAATCGAAACCCGCTCTGTACCAAAGTTACAGTGCTTGACAAGATCTAAAGCTCTGCGGTTTAAGCTAGTTTCATCTAAACTCATTTAGACATCGAAATTTTCAATACAAGATTCGTAAAAAAATAATATAAAAGGATAGCATCCTACGCTTGCCACATGCTAGTGTATGATATAGTGGTAGGGTGCTCCCGTGAAGTAAGAGCCCGCTAGTGAACGAATAATACCACCATATAAAGTTAATGTATTGTTATTATAAAGGATTCATATTAATTAGAAGAATCCTAGGAATAATTAGAATAGAGAATTGTTCATCTTAGAAGTACCGACATATAAACGTACACAGGAAATGAATCTATAAAGTTCAAGAGCTAAAGGTATTACGTACTAGGCTTGCACCGCGTGTTTTGCATGAAGTTAGAGCATCTCCAATATAGTTCCTAAAAAAGCAATTGGTAAATCAATGAGTTTTCCAAGTAGATAAAAAAAAGTTGGGAGCACATTTGTTAAGTTTAATTTCTCCAATATTTTACAAAATCTCGCTCCTAAAATATAGAATACAATTTTGCATCAGGAATCCCGCACGGACCATTTCTAAATCACCCTAACCACTTTTATATTTTCTTTCTCTCTTGCACATTTGCATTGAAAACCCATCCTACCACCTCTAGATTGGCCGGTCGATATATACGTGCTTGTATATTTCCCCGTGATTTGGTCGATTTTCGCAAGTACGGAAAGATTGGGAGTTGAGATAGGGAGTTGTTGTTGGAGGGCAGTTTTATTCAATCTTGCAAAAAAAATATTGGGAGTGGATTTTGGAAACTCTTAGAGATGCTCTTACATCTTATGATATTTTAGATTTTGCAACAAGTGCATTAAAACAATAGAACGAATAGGAAATGTTGAGTTCTTTTTATGCAAATATATAAGTAGGACAAGTAGTCCATTTTTCGACTCGTGTGTGTAGGCCTTGCCTTTTCTAAAAAGAGGATGGAGGCGTTAGGTAGAGCTGCACCGCCTGGCCTACCACCTATAGCCATTTTGTCTAGGTTTTGTTTTTTAATGCCCCGCATAGGAGGAATGGACTTGATTCTTGCTATGAATATGGGACTAGTTAGAGATGTGTAGCGATCATATCATATTGCTCATGATTATATCATTTCTTGCTATGATATATGCTAAATTTCTTTTACATCCTTAAAAAAAATATTTCTTTTACATCGATCACTTAAAGCATCCATATAGAGAAATTTAAAACGATCTAGCAAGCTAGTTAGTGCAACATGTGCATCCCCTCAACGTTCGCAGTTGCATTAGAGGCGGCCTGCAGGAAACCCATGGGAATTATTACTCTTGTCGTTGCAATGGAAGGAAACCCATTGGAAGCAGAAGCAGCCTCCTGGCTGCCGCATCCATGTTCAGCTTTTTGAGTCCACATGCAAGCGCAAAAGCATCCTACACAGCTTTTTCATTCAGCAGCATAGCAAGAGAAACCATCGATCCAAACTCCTCACCAAAGCATGCATATTTGCCGCGACTACATCAGAGTCACATCACAGAGATGCATGTTCTTAGCTTATCATGAGCTGTGTATATATAATAAAACCAATAATAAAGGCACCAATGAAACTGATTATAAATAAACGGCGCTTCATAAATAAATCTCCTCCTGCTTCATGAACTCTGATTATAATAGTAACAGTAATTCCTTGACTCACAAAGAATAGCCAACGAATCTAATAATTCTATGATCTCACGGATGTAGCCTCCTGCAGAGCAGACGTTGCTCTGGGTCGCTTCGTTCTCCTATTCTATGATGTACTCATGGTGTCTAGTTCTTGCTTTTTACCCTTGCATTGCAGTTGCAGATGAGGGAAGTTTCAGCTTGGGCGTGTACATCCTTCTTTCTGCTGGATTCATCGCCGGTGACGAAGTTGCTGCTGTTGCTCCTCCTCCTCCTCCTCCATTGGATGTCAGTCAGTGGCCTAAGAGCGAGGAGCGGAGAGCTGTCATGCTCATGTAGATATCTCTGAATCTTCTCGCTTTAGGTCTCGTAGTGGAGGCTAGATGAAGAAGTTTGGTAAGTGGTGGAAGGCAATCTTCGACAAGTGCACCTATGCAGCTGACAGAGCGTATGAGACACAGCTTGAGCAGCGTCAGCAGCGAGGACAGGACCTTCCGCCACTTCCTCCTATTCCACTTCCTCCACAGTATGACCTTCCGAGTCTCTTCGACATAGATTCAGATGATGAGGAGGAGCAGCAGGGACGAGCAGCAGATTGGGATAAGACCCTAGAGGGATGCCGTCAGAGATAGGAGCCGAGGCGTTCCACTCGCTACACCGCCAGTACTCACCGTCAGGGCCGTGCACGTATTGACTCCGACGACGATGATGGTGATGGTGGTGCCGGGACTGCTCAGGAGGTGATGATATTGATTGGACGGAGATCCAGGGTGATGACGAGTAAGTGTTGATATTCTTTTTTCTTCTCTTTTTGGTGCTTTATGCCAAAGGGGGAGAAAATTAGAGAAGGAAAAATTAGAGGGGTCAACAACTTTTCGCAGCGCTGCGCTTCATGTCTTATTCGATGAGTGTTAGTCTTCGCTAGGTGGAAATTTTGAGAGTCGCTCAAAACTCTAAATTGTGAAATAATGCTACTATTTGACTCTTTGTGTATCGGATATGGACATGTATCGTTGTGTGGATTAGAAGTCATCTTATTGTGCTAGGTTGCATATCTTTTTTGTCTGAGCTAGCTGTGTGGTGCTTGACTCTGTATTGCTCGTATAGTTAGGTGGGGCACTGCCGCACAGCAACAAGCACATGTGTGCATAAACTATCATTTGCATCACGTTTTATATACCTAAAAAAATATGCAGCACCCCACAGAAGCATGGATGTAGGGGGAGCCCCATCACTTTCACTAAAATATGAATCTTGGCTTCTTATGCCAATTTGAGAATTCAATTCTCTATTTACGTATTTAAGGGGAGACTCTATACCCATGGCTCGAAAATATCAATATTTATTTCATATCTTTTGTAAGCTCTTATTGGGTTGTCATCAATCACAAAAAGGGGAGATTGAAAGTGCAATCAAGCCCTAATTATAGGTTTTGGTGATAATGACCACGCAATTAGAGAAATAATGAGATTTATCGAGATGACAAGCAGAGAATTTATATTCGAGGATGCTACACGAAACGGAGGAGCCCCCAATTACAAATAAAGATGGCTTCAAACTCAAAACAGATTTAAGATTCTTTTATATCTTGAATTTGAGTATAAGAAAAGTCGTACTATAAATGGAAACTCAATGCTTAAGCTAATATGTGCTACCAAGTACTCAAATAACCACAAGAATCCTCAGATTCACAGCCAAGATAGTCTACACTTCACTATTACCCTTGCAGTCTTGCGTGGTGCGAGCTCCGACTCGTCCGACCCCTTGGGCGCGGGCTCCGGTTCGCCCGACCCTTTCGTCACGGGCTCTGGCTTGCCCGATCCTTTGGTCGTGGGCTCCGGTACGCTCGACCCTTCGGTCGCGGGCTTCGGTTCACCCAACCCCAAGGTCGTGGGCTCCGTCTCGCCCGACCCCAAGGTCGCGGGCTCCGGCTCACCCGACCCTTTGGTCACGGCCTTGTCTCGCTCGACCCCAAGGTCACGGGCTCCGGCTCGCCTGTCCCTTTGGTCGCGGCCTCATCTCGTCCGACCTCTTGGTTGCGGTGTCCGTTGGAGGCTGGAGGTATATATACCTTTTTCTTTCTCCCCAACGGCTATCTGCGATTTAAAGTGACCGTTGGGGGCTGGGGGATATATATACATTTTCCCTTCCTTCCCAACGGTAACCAACGAACCCTGCTCTCTT